TTTTTTGGGAGAATTAAAACATCGTGTGCACCGGACAAAAGAAGAAAAGGATCATGACTGTTATCAGAAACAAGTCCAAAAGCCAGGATCTGTCAAGGTATGGGGTTGTGTTAGTGCCCTGCAAAGGTAACTTGTACTTCTGTGATGCACCAAAAGTACAGAGATTTTTGAGCACAATGTGCTGCTTTCAAGAAGACATCTTCTATTTATTTTAACAAGAAAATGCAAAAGCATATTCTGCACACATCATGAAGTCCTGACTGAGGAGGAAGAGGATACAGGCACTGGACTGGCCTGCCTGAAGTCTCCACCTGTCTCCAATAGAGAATGTGACATCATTTTGAAGCTCAAAATGTGACAACAAAATGCAACTGTTGTCCACCATAAGACTTGTTTACAGGAAAAATAGGACGAAATGACTCCTGAGACATTTTATTACTTGGCGTCTTCAGTCCCTTGTGTTGTGAAAAGTATTGGAAACATTACAAAGTGGTAAATGCTTTACTCTTCCAACTGTTTTGAAATGTATTGCAAGAACCAAAATTGGAATGTGTTTTTTTTTTTTTTATAAACAAATTCATGAAAAAAATCATTAAATAATGTTTGTTGTATTGTCTGCACTGAAATACAAGTCAAAGTTGTAATGTAGAAATATTTTTTATTTGCATTTTCCCTAATGTCCCAACTTTTTCTGAGGGGTTGTAGACAACATCTAGGCACAGTAAGTAGTTTAGATCACTCCAGGGGGCTATTTCATAAAAGTGGTTTAAAAAAGCAGGGATCAAAGCCTGACTTCAATGAGCTGAACTAAACGTCCAAACTTAAAATTGTTTTATAACAGCAAGTTGAAGATCATTTGATCTAACTAATCTGAGTTCAGTTTAAATAATCTAGATAACTGCTCGTGCACGTTACTGTTGCGTTTTTTTTTTTTTTTTTTTTTTAATATTAAGTGACTACAAAGTTGTAATCATTATCAAGAGGTTAAGTGAATTAAAATGGCAGGCATCAGATTACGGCAGGTGAATGTTAACATTACTTTGATTGGGCTTGAACTTAAGACTTAGCCTGAGAGTTATCCTGCCCCAGACCGGGCTAATTTCCCAGCATAATTTGCCAGAGTAACTGAGTTTGAACTTTCGGAAATTTGATTTATGGAACTGAATCTGCCATTAATAAACCTGACTTACCTAAATAAGCCTGGCTTTTTCTCTAAGCCTGTTTTATGGAGCAGCCCCCTGCTCACTATATATTTTTGTTTGCAGCAGCTTGTTGACTTGATTTGTTATTGATTTCTGTGCTTGCTTGAATCTGTTTATATCCTCATTTTGGTTCAGTTTTGTTGTGATACATTGTCTGTCTTCACTTTTATTTACACTGTGTTGTAAGTTTGTTCTTACCTGTGTAAAGACTGGTAGGTCAGTAGGTCACAGGACATGTATTTCAACACATAGGACTTCAAATGTCTAGAAATACACTTGGGAAGGGGGTGAGCACCAACCTCTGTATTTTTGTTTGTGTGGATAGTTGATAGTTATTGTAGTTTAGGTAAGACGAGTTGTACATTGAAGATTTATTTTTCACATTTTTGTTAATTATACTAGATTAGAGGGGATTTGATATTAGTAAGTGGTTTGGATTGTTTCTTTGCTTTAGCGCCACCCATAACCAGTCTTTCTGGTTAGTTTTAGTTGTGATTTGTAAATGTTGTAAATAGCTCACTCACTGCTTTACTTATCACCACTTGTAATAAATTACTTTATTTGCACAGCAATTCTTGTTTAGTCGTTACTTTGAGTACAATTTTCCTTGAGTGTTTGTTTGAACCAGATCCTTGGTCAAGTGTGCAACCCCACTCCTCTACTCTAGACTGCCCAGTGGTTGTAACCGCTTACTAAATTCATGCACCAGGAGAGCCCAAATGTGGTGCGTTAGCTCGTCAAGATGTGTGCCTAATATATTCAACCGTCTACCTTAATCATAATCAAGATCTATCAAATTTTGACTATACATTAATTTCAAGATATCTCTTAAACTAAACTGAATGAAAGAGCTGTACAAATTATGATATGTGGTTGTATGTTATTGTCAATCTCCACCAGCTCCTTCGATGAGTGTTGTTGCCAGCTTGCAAACCTGGGGGCTATTCCATAAACCAAGCTTTCAGAAAAAGCCAGGCTTACTTTGGTAAGTCAGGTTTATTAATGGCGGATTCTGTTTCATAAATCAAATTTACGATAGTTAAAATTTAGTTACCATGGCAACTTATGCTGGGACCTAGCCTGGTCCGGGGCAGGATAACTCTCAGGCTAAGTCTTTAGGTCAAGCCTAATCAATGTAATGTTAACATTCACCTGCCATATTCTGATGCCATAATAATTCACTTAACCTCTTAATAATGATTAAAACTTTATCGTCACTTAATAGCAAAAAAAAAAAACTATATATATATATATATATATATATATATATATATATATATATATATATATATATTACAAACTTTGCATTGGTACTGAATAATCTAATGTATATACACAAATATATTATTGTAAAGCATTCTGTAGAAAATATTAATTTAAAAGAGAAATCTGTGATGGGTGTTCTTAGCTCTCTCTCTCGCTCTCTCGATATATATATATATATATATATATATATATATATCATACATTTTTTTTCGGCTTAGTGCCTTTATTAATCTGGGGTTCCCACAGCGCAATGAACGGCCAACTTATACAGCATATGATTTATGCAGTGGACGCCTTCACTGGGAAACATCTATGCACACTCATTCACCTTCCTACACTATGGCCAATTTAGCTTATTCAGTTCATCTATAGCGCATACCTCATGTCTTTGGATTTGGGGGAAAACGGAGCACGTGAAGAAAACCGTCGTCACGAGCACGGGGGTAAGAAAGACCAAAGAGAGGTAAGAAAGACTATTTAAAGAAGAAGACTAGATTTCTTAAATAATGACTTTAAAGCTATAAAATGAGTGGGATAATCAGGAGATGATCCGTGCTGAGCAGCAGCGTCACTTTAATGTAAAGATATTTTCCAACGGGCTGCGGGAAATAAGTGGCAAAGGGAAAGCAACGATTTGCAGCAGATTCCGGAGCAAATTCAAAAAACCCACCGCTTGTGCGTGCACGGCTCTTTGTTTATCTTAAACCTATGTGCTTACATTTAGAACATTTTGTAAGTTACAGTGAGCCTGCAATGCATTAAAACTTGCAAGCAACAATTGGCAGTAAGCGCAAATCTCTCTCTCACGCACATGCGCTGTCAATCACAATTACTATGTATAATAACAAATATTAAATTTCATGTTAATAGGTCTAAATAATAGCCTATATTTAAAAAATATATTGCTACTAATGTACCCTATTGTACAATCTGCAGTTTCGCGGCTCACTCGCTGTGAACCGCTGTGTCTCATTTCAGAGCTCTTTCAGTTCTCGAAGTTGCCATGGTTGCACACAACATCATCGATGTATCTTTGCTCGACTTTTAAGGTTTCACGACAGAAATGTGCACGAGCAGTTATCTGGATTATTTAAACTAACCTCAGACTAGTCAGATCAAATGATCTTCAACTTGTAGTTATGGAACCAATTTAAGTGTGGACGTTTAGTTTGGCTCGTTGAAGTCAGGCTTTTGACTTTAATCCCTGTTTTTCTTAACCACTTTTATGAAATAGCCCCCTGGTCAGACAGACTCAGTGGGTTGCTCGCCATCTGTGGCAGGCTCTGAAAGGTGATGGTTGGGTGGTCTCTTGTCTGGAGTGGCAATTGTGAGTCTGTAGAACAAATAGAGAACAGGGATCCATGCTTGCCAGTGTCCATTTAAAAAAAGAATCACTGGCATGTAGATTGCACTGGGGTCAAGAACAGTCTTGTGGGATTCTCGAGCATGATCTTATCCTGCTCCTGCAAAAAGGAAATCGGAGCAGGAGGTAGGGTTCATGACTGATCAGGGATGCAAGTATAAAACTCTGGGAACAACATGGAAGACAAACACCACAAGAAGAAGAAGTTGCAGAGAATTTACCTGCCCTATTTCAGAACAGTGATGGAGTTTGAGAAGTCGATGCTGTGTGTTTTGTAAATAAAGCGTCTCAGAATCTTTTTCCTGACAGACAAAACTACATTATAAGGTCAGTTCTATCTTTGTTTTGGAAAGACATTGTGAACAACATTGTGTTTTTAATCACACACACTAAAAATGTCCTAATGGTGCCATTGATAAAGCTCAAATACCCTGCAGACAAGACAGAAGTCTCATGCGTGTTCAGGCATTTGAGTGACAAAAATTAGGCACAAAACTAGTACATAATGATTCTTTCCACAACAGTACCATAGATCACATTGAGTGGAACGCCTTTGGCCCTCTATGATCAACATTCCCCACCCCTTCTCTAAAAATTGGGTGCTTTGCAAGGTTATCGAGTCATCTCTCATTTAAATAAAATGCCTCCTGATTGGCTTCTGCGTTCAGACACACTTAAACATCCATGATTGTCTGCATTACTCAATCCTGCAAAACTAGTTGAAAATAGAAACCTTTGGCACTCATAAAAAATATACACAAGTATAGACTGCAGATTGTACTCCAGAAAGGCTAGTTTACTAATATGCAATGCATTTTTACTCGTGCACCAGCATTTTTGACAACACTGAACACATACAAGTAACATATATTTTTTATTATTTTATTAAGAAAGCTTCCATTTTATTATATACCATTTTATATATATATATATATATATATATATATATATATATATATATATATATATATATATATATAGAGAGAGAGAGAGAGAGAGAGAGAGAGAGAGAGAGCAGTTTTTCATATCCATTAGTTGCAAGATGGGATAAACCCACAGACATGTTGGCATTGATGTTTTATGACAGTTTGTTCAGGCAAAATGAAAACACCTTTGACTGGGAGGGACTTGAGACAGGTTGGCTTGTTTGTTAAACCAGTATTTCTGTCAGTGCACGCAGATGTTCCGGCTAGAAGCAGATTGAAGGTTTGCTGTGAGGTGGACAGGGTCAATCAAACAGTCATCATGAATTCACGGTAAGTTTGTGCTTTTTACAGGAGATAATTTTTACAAAAGTGATAATCATTAGTTCTGCGGGCTTAACCCCTGTTTCACCTTATGAATAATATATGTTTGATGACCTTTTAAATTTGCCTTCTACTGTCTTTGATGGAGTAAAAAACTATGGCAAACATTTGCCAATCTTTAAATTTTTATATATTACACAATGCTGTTATTCTCTGTTTAGATAAACATAGCATAACAGGATTGTGTGAAATATTATGTAATATATTATTAAATATTATGCCTTAATTGATAAATGTATTGTGCATTTTTATAACTTTGCTCATGGTACAAATGAAAGTGTTAAATTCTGACATAAATATTGAGAGCTTCTTTATGTTACAGAAAGCCACGTTATTTCCCACGCTGGTCAACTTTAATCGATCAAGGTCCTCCAAAACGATTCCTTTTACAAACAGAGAGGAAAATACTTGATGATAATGGGAAAGTCAGAAAATGGTGTTATGGAACAAAAGACACCAGTAAACAAAACAAAATCCTTCTGCTGGTGGGAGAGACCGGTGCTGGAAAGACAACACTCATCAACTCTTTCATCAACTACCTAATGGGAGTGAAGTTTGAGGATGAAATATGGAATGAAATCACAGAAGAAGCAGTCAGAGATCAGTCAGAATCCCAAACCTCTGAAATCACCATGTACGAGGTCTTTCCTGTAGAGAGTGCAATTTCTGTCACCATCATTGATACTCCAGGTTACGGAGACACTAGAGGACTGGAGAAAGATCTGGAAGTTGCTGAAAATTTATCTGCTCTGTTTCAGAGCAATGATGGAGTTCGAGAAATTGATGCTGTGTGTTTTGTGATTCAAGCATCAAAGAATCGTCTCTCAGACAGACAACACTACATTATCAGCTCAATTCTGTCTCTGTTTGGGAAAGACATTGTGAACAACATTGTGTTTTTAATCACACACTCTGATGGTCTTCCTCCTAAAAATGTCCTCGGTGCCATTAATAAAGCTAAAATCCCCTGCAGACGAGACAGAGAAGGCCAACCTGTTCATTTCATATTCAACAATAATCAAGCTGATGCTCGTCAAACTAAAGAACGTTACATTCGTGCTCAAAGAGACGCCTGGGAAGACAGTATGAATGGTATAAAACGCTTTCTTCGGTCTCTGGATGAAAAGAACAGAAAAAGTTTAGAGTTGACTTCATATGTCTTGATTGAGCGCATTCAGTTTGAAGCATTTATCTGCAACTTGCAGCTGAGAATTCAGGAGAAAGAGCTGAAGAAGGCTGAGAAACTTCAGATTCAGGAGGCAATGAAACAGAACAAGGAAAAGATTGAACAGTGTAAAAACTTCTCCATTAAAGTCCGAAAGACAGCCAAAAAGAAGGTTCCCATTGAGCATGCATCATGGAAAAACAGAAAGGCGACAACCTGCACGGTCTGTGAGGAGAACTGCCATGAGTTTGACTGCTGGTGGGTTTCTGGTCCCAAGAAATGTGAAGTCATGAAAGATGACTACTGCACTGTGTGCACAGGGAAGTGCCACTACACTAAACACGTCAAAGAAAACAAGAAATATGTTATTACCACTTCAAACTATGTCTTAGAGTTTGATGAATTTACAAAGGAATATAAAAAAGCCCAAGACCAGACAAAGAGGTTTTCAATTATAATGGAAGATCTTGACAAAGAGCTGAAAGAGATTGAAGACCAAAAATTAATATTACTGTTCAATGCTTACAAGACCCTCAAGCATCTGTCTCAGATCGCTCTAAAACCAGACTCTGCCTTCACCCTCCAGCATCTGGACTTCTTCATCCCCAGAGTGAGGGAGGCTGGGAAAGAAGACTGGGTTCGGGAACTGGAGGAGATGCGGAGAATGGCAGTAGCTGAAGAAGCCAATAAAGACGCTCTGAGTTACCTGAAAGCTGGACTCACAAAACTCTTCATCAATGGGAATTGAACAAGCAGACAAGTCAACAAATGAAATAGTAAAAAAAAAGACTGCCTACAGTGAGAATGCAGGTGGCATTCTGTAATACAGTAATCTGCTTTAACGTTATTTAAATGGTAATTCACTTCAGTAACATCTGCTTATAAAGTGCTAGACTGAATAAATACAGGGGTAACTGGTGGTTGATTTAACATAAACGTGTGCATCTGTAAACACTGAACTGTTAATTTGTGTTGCTGTTGCTTGAACATTTCTACATTGTATCTTCATTAAGTGCTGGTACATAGGCCAGCAAACTTTCAGCTAATTTAATCATAAAGTAAACATAAAAATAAATTAAACTATTGGAAAATATAATGTGTGTGTGTGTGTGTGGCTACAGAGAATGCGTGAGTGAATGGATATGACCACACACAATGCTGCAATACTGTGCAGCACAGCACAACAGGGTCTAACACAAGAAAGGCATGACCAGCAGGGGGCAGTTATCTAACATAATGAACACATATACTGTCGTAGCCAGAGTATGCGAGCAGAAGCCGAGAGGTGTGATGCTCCGCTAAACATTCGTCGTTTATCGTGCGAACCACCCAAAGCAAGCACTCCATAAACAACCTGCTCACGCTCACCAGTAAAATTTCTCTAATAGGCTAAATCTTAAATTATTTTTTGGAACTAAAAATCTTAAATAACTGTCTGAAATTAAAGCGTGTCAATAAAATAAGTTTCTGTTTCAAAGCAGCATTCTTCCTTGTGCTTTTTTTTTCCGTACAGTTTTTTTAAAGGGCACCTATGGTGAAAAATCTACCTTTCAAGTTATTTGGACAAACAAATGTGTATATATAGTGTATAGACCATCATATTGGGGTGATACAAACACACCCAGTCCTTTTTTTCAATTTAACAACATAATAACGGTGGACCAATTAGAGCAGTTTTCAGACCAACCGCAACTTCACGTAGGAGTATGAATTGATTGACAGCTACGCGCATTAACATGTTCCGGCAGTCGCATGTATATGTCAACAAGACCAGGCAGACATACGCAAAGCAACCGGGAATAAAAGGTCTGTTCCCTAAAGGGAACGAGACGCTGCGTCTCTTCAGGAGACACAGTGGGATACAATCCCTCTCTTATAACCTCCTGAAGCACAGGTGAAATCAATCCAATTTAATTGGCAGGACCGTGTGTGACGTCAGACCGGGAGGTATAAAAGCAGCAAGGAAGCATACAACTTCAGCTTTTTCTCTCTTCACTCAGACGCATGAGTCTTTTTCCTCCTACTTACAATTACTGAAAACGCACTACATTAAAACAATGACTCACTCGCGCACACACACGCTCTCTTTTTGCATCACTATTAAAAATAATAGGCTATTAGAGAAATATAATTTAAATCCTGCGGTGTCCTTTTGTAATCAGAGATCAGGACACGCAAGATTTATGTGTGTGCGCAGTGCCTTTGACCATGAGCAAGTACAATCAGTCCTCGAGAGGGGTGTTTGTGCTCATTTTAAAAAGCCCTGGTCGAGTGCTGTGAAAGTGTTTCCTGCGGCTCATTCCCGCTTGCGCTGCGGCCGAGCGGCGCGTGATTTCGCGGAGAATCAGCTCGATCTGAAGGGTAAGAAGGAGACAAAACTCGAGGGTTTTCTTCTTCTTTTTGTTCTCCAGATCGGCATCCTTTCAGCGCAAGCCGGACGCCTGCTACGGCTGCCTTTCTTCTCGCACTGTGGGATTACGGCTTCGCCTCTGCCTCCGAGGGAGTTGAGAGTATGGAAGGCCGTTGGGACCAAAATGGTTGTTCCCCCCATTATGCCCCGAATATGATTATAAATATAAGGGGTCTAATTTTTAATGAGTACCTGCACAGGGAAGTATTAACCAGAAGCAGGTCTCACATTGTTTGTATGATTAGCCATTTATTCAGCTATGGCTTGCTTAGATTACTCTGTTGCAGAGTGAGGCTTCATATCAAGGAAGTTATCATCTGCAAAGACTGCTTTGCCATCAATGCCGGTGAAAATAATAACATCGGCTCTGATTGGTAAAGTGTATGTGGCAATAGGTCAACTGGCCAGTTGTTCATATACTCTGTAATTATACAATCATACCAAATAGACCGTCCGAAGGACGCCATTGGGAAGGGGGAGGCCTGTTATCGTTCAAAAGGAATTGCTTCGGGCTTTAAATCTGTCTCTCTGTGCCATAAAAATTGATGTTCACAGGGATATTTGTGGCCAAATCCGTCCGATATCAAGAAAGAGGACAAATGTCTCTTCCTTGACGCCCCTATTTTGCCCGCTGGTTCATTAGAGAATCTGTTGAGTGGGCAGAGGGGGGTGGGGCTCCTACGGGAGCTTTCTTCCCTAAGAAACCGTTCTTCTGGGGCGGCTAGGTGGGACCAGCCACAAGCCAGTTATCCGCTCAGCATTGTGTGGGGCAAGAGAGTGCGTTGCATCCATTCAGCCCCCAAAAACAACTGGGGTGGGAAGCAGCGCTCTCAGGAGACAAAGTCTGTCTTGTACTATGGTCAAGAACCACTGTCGTGAAACGAGCATCGTCTCAGAAGTTCTAGTATTAGGAAATTCTTCGGCAGCCCCTGCGAGGAGCAAGGGCTGCCTTATCATGCCCCACAGGGGGTCCATCCGCCAACCCTCCCACCACTGGTGCCTCAGGGTGCGGAGAGATTTCCCCTATATTAGGCACCAGATTCAGCAAAGTTCAGCAGGTCGACCTGGAGACATGAGAAGAGACCAAACTGTAGTTAGAATGGTTTATTCTGCAAGCCTGACAACACAGGATGGACAGGGATATTTATACACAGGGGCTGATAGCAGAAAGGCACTCCAAATATGGGCTAGTCATACAGCATTTTGTCTTAACATGAATCAGCATATTTCATATCTGAGCATAGTGGAATTTTCCAGCGTGGGTGAAGCTGCGAAATGAAACCAGACCATGGTCTCATATTTCTAACACCTGCAAGACTGAAACCAGACCATGGCCTCATATTTCTGACATATACACACATATACACAAAACCACAAGCACTTCTGCACGTAGCTGCAAGCACACTAAAAAGAGGACAATATGTTCTCTCAGTCCCCTCTTTTAGGCCAAAGGCCTAACGCAGAGGAATCTATCATATCGTTGACCCATCATACTGTCCATTGTAGCATAAACACGATTCATCAAACATTGTAAGAGAAAAGGGCCACAGCAACAAATCAACAAAAGAATAATACATACAGGAATCATCATAGTGAGAAAAGGAGTCACCCAGCCGAACAGACCCATCATCCAACCCCAAGTTGTGTCGGGAACATAATCTGAAGTCATGGCAGTTTTTAACCCTTGGAGAGTAGACATAGCAGTACTCATTTACATACCTCCCCCTGGGATGCTGTTAAGAGATCTAGAGCCATTCTATTTTGCAAAACCATGGTACGGAGATTACCCAGCTCCTTATTCTGGGCCTCATTAATTATTTTTTTTGAGGCATTCAGAAATAGGCCCATGCGATAGTCCAGGGTCTCGATTCTTAGTAGAGCTTTTCCCACACCTATTTGCGGAAATAGAGCCAATACCATTTTGTTACCAGTGGTCCATAATTTGAAATCCTCGGGCACGTCAGTACCCCATGCAGAGTCATGGGGCTTCATTTCAGGGACACTGCGTTTAACTCTTTGCTGCGCTGACAGGACCTGGGCTGTCACAATAAAAGTGTGATCAGTCACATGCACAGGGGCACACTGCCCCGTCCAGTTGGCCGGTAGGGACATGTAGGCGTTTTTCCCACACAACCACCACCCACCCTGGACCACATAAGTGCCGTTTGAGGGTCCTGAGATGTCGACTGGGGCCCCCTCTCCCGAGGAGGCAATTTGTTGACAGTTAACAGTGCTTCCCATGAAATGAGAGCCCATGGTCTGGTTATAACACACAGGGTGTGTAATAGAGTGGTTAATAAAAAACCTTGTGGCTAATAGGTGAGGGTTTAGCGTGGCCAAATTTTACCCAAAATAGAGCATCACATGTACCATTTCTAATGCCAATCCGGTATGGATCGTAGTCATCGACAATTATATATGGGTCCTGGTACCCTGATCCTGCAAAACTGGCAAAACATTTAGCAGAGGTCTTATTCATGGGTTTGGCATAAAGAGGGGTTTGTTTGGCTGAATGAGGCATAACAGAACATACATAACAACCAGATACATTTTATGACCTAGCTAAAACATTCACATATTGATACCACATATTATTTCAATAGGATTGTCAGCCCCATCCTCTGCCCATCCAAATTCATGATCATGTGTCCAGCGTTTCAGCCTGGCTGCATTAGCTTGAGCAACAAGAAAGAGAAACAGTCCCAATGTCCATAGCCACTTCATGCTGATCCTTTTAGTAGTTATGCTGCGTGGAGGTGCTAGCTGATGTGGGGGCCCCCGAAGTATCTGTAAAACAAAGAGAGTCTGCAGACAGATTATCATAGTACAAAACTTATACATTTTTATTATTCAATAGGTGCTCGTTTTATCCTGGTTGCATGGATCCACTGTGGAGAAGAGGAGGTTAAAACGGCGGTTCTGGTTACAGCCACGACATCCGTCGGGGGGCCAAATTTGGGGTCCCCCAGTTCTGTGCTCATTTTATTGAACTGTCTAATCATTACTTTGTCACCAACCTTAAATGGGTGTGTTGGGTCTACCGGCATCGGGGCTGAACCAGAATGTATGTTAGTCCAGTATGCATGCAATGTTGTTAGTAGCTGTTGTGCACATTCACTCATATGAATATCCAAAGAACCGTCACCCAGTGTGGTACCCCTTTGCCTCCATGGTGAGGGAAAGGGTCGTCCCATCACAGTCTCATAAGGAGAGAGACTGTGAAGACTTTTGTGAGGAGACATCCTCATGTCTGCTAAAACGAGAGGTAGCAAGGCGAGCCAATTTGAGTGCCCTGCATGTTACATAGCCTTTCTTAATTTGTCCTTAATAGTCCTATTAGTTCGTTCTATTATGCCAGATGATTGTGGATGACAGGGAATATGTAGCTGCCAATTAATTTGGAGTTCTTTAGCTAGATTTTGTATTACTTTCGCAGTAAATGAGGTTCCCTTATCTGAGTCTATGGCACATGGTATACCGTATCTTGGAATGATTTCTCTTGTCAAACATCTGACAACTATATTAGCATCTTCTTTACTGCATGGGAAGGCTTCAACCCATTTTGAAAATTTGTCCACAAAAACCAGTAAATATTTATTGGGACCCCTCTTTGGCAGATGTGTGAAATCTACCTGCCATTCCTGAAAAGGTGTTTCAGGAAGGGGCAATTGTTGATGTTTAGCTTGAGGTTTAGTGATATTATTTTGAGCACATATCAGACATCTATCTAGCGTGTTATTAACATGATGTTGTAAATTATTAATGCATAAAAAGGAACTCATTGTGTCTATTAACTCATTGTGTCTATTACCTCATTGTGTCTATTACCCCTCTTCGGCCGCGGTGTGTAACACCGTGAAACTCGCGGACGAGAAAAGGTGCACAGGATGATGGCAGGCATAAACGGCCTTTGCCATCTAGCATTATTCCATTAGGATCAGTCGTGGCGTCACATTCAGACCAGTAAGTATGGTACTAAGTATTTAGTAAGCTGCTGTTTTAGATGTGTCAGGAGCTCCTCCTGATCATCTTTCCACGCGAGGCGTGTTTTTATACGAGTACGTGTCTTTTTATCATCTGTTTCTTCCTTAACAGTTTCTGTTTGTACTATATCAAGCTTGGGATCAAGAGCAGGTATTTTTTCTATTATTTCGTCATCGTCATAGGACAAACCCATTTTGATTTGAAGGATAAATCGATAACCTGCCCCAATTAGTTGGCAGTGACGCGAACTGCGCAACAGCATGTCTACAAATTGCAGTGGTTTGTCCACTTCTGGTAAAAGAGATATGAGATCTTTAAGAACAGAGGGTGAAGGCGGAATTATCTCTATCCCTCGTGGTTTAGCAACCCACACGGCAGCCACATTAGAAGCTGAAGTAGTGCCCTCCGTGCTGTCGGAGGGGAGTCTGGTTTAGTTTTAATCATTTCTGTCAGGGACGGATAAACAGAAGATATTATAGGGGGAGCGCTAGCAGCAGAGCATGAAACTGCAGGCTGAGGCCCCGTATAAGGGGGTGGTGACGTCATAGTTGTCTTAGCAGCTGCGAGAGAACCCCTCTTATCTGCCTCACGGGCAGTATTGCTTCTGCTTTTGGGTTTGGGGACAGATTTCAAAACGGTTTTAGGTGTGAAAATGCCCTTTTTATCTCTCCATATAGAGCTCATTGTACACCATGTGTCATATCCATTCATCATATACTGATCATCCCATTCTGGATCCCCATATCAATTTGTAAGCTAACTGAAGGAAACCTGGGTCAAATGTTCCTTCCCTAGGAAAGTCTCTCCATTGAGATTGTCCCTCTGTCCACCCAGCTAAATTGGACAGCCAGGGTTCAGTGTAAAATCCCCACCCACATCTATCCATCCATTGCTTTGGACTCTCACTGGGTTCTGGTTTTGGATATCCTTGTCCCATATTGCTGAAGCTGGTGCGTAATACTTATTTACTAAAATTTATTAAACCCCTGATTTGTGGAACCCAAATTTAATCGGGTACAACAACACAAATCCTTCTGTGCAATTTACTGTTTGAAGTAAACTTGACAGGCTATCAAGTGTCAAATTAATAAATTTCCCTGATTTGTGGAACCCAAATTTAATCGGGTACGACGACACAAATCCTTCTGTGCAATTTACTGTGGAAAGTAAACTTGACAGGATGTTCTGTGCTCTAGAACACAGACCTCTCTTGCTTGCGCAACCCAATTTTTAATTAAAATCTTACGATTTCCTGAGATACACCGGAGCAGGCAGTGTGAATAAAAATTCTCTTACCTGATCAGATGTATCCCGGACGAAGCCCCCAAGTCTGCAAGATTTCCCCTATATTAGGCACCAGATTCAGCAAAGTTCAGCAGGTCGACCTGGAGACATGAGAAGAGACCAAACTGTAGTTAGAATGGTTTATTCTGCAAGCCTGACAACACAGGATGGACAGGGATATTTATACACAGGGGCTGATAGCAGAAAGGCACTCCAAATATGGGCTAGTCATACAGCATTTTGTCTTAACATGAATCAGCATATTTCATATCTGAGCATAGTGGAATTTTCCAGCGTGGGTGAAGCTGCGAAATGAAACCAGACCATGGTCTCATATTTCTAACACCTGCAAGACTGAAACCAGACCATGGCCTCATATTTCTGACATATACACACATATACACAAAACCACAAGCACTTCTGCACGTAGCTGCAAGCACACTAAAAAGAGGACAATATGTTCTCTCAGTTGTCTACCAGTGTTTTATCCCAAAAGTGGTGACGCTAGTGAGGCAGTGCCCTCAGGAGAGAAAGTCCATCATGTACTGTGGCCAAGAACCATTGTCATGAAACGACTATAGTCTCCGAAGAAGTTCTAGTATTAGGAAATTCTTCGGGCAGCCCCTGCGAGGAGCAAAAGCCTCCTCCTCGTGCCCCACAGGGGGTCCATCCGCCAACCCTCCCACCGTTGGTGCCTCAGGGCGCGGAGACCCCCGGTGTTGTCCACTAGCATTTTATCCCAAAAGTGGTGGCGCTATTGGACTCACCCCCTCTATGGAGGGTCCGAAAGCAGTTAACTTAGTGGCCTCCTGTCGTGAGTTCACTTCAGTGCCCTGAGTTAGGCATCTAGGGGAGCATAGAAGCCAGTCTTGAGGGACTGGTACCCCTGCGTTATTTCTGGCAAAACGGAAGCGGCTGCCAAACGTTTTGCAGTTGGGTCCTGCTAACCTGAAAGAGGAGCTAAATAATGCAGTTTGGTTCAAACCCCTCTTGCTTCAATAATTTGCTTTACAATTGTAGTAAAGTTAAAGCAGGCTCTAGAAATGGAAATGAAGTAGACTCCCTTATGAGGAAGGAAGTCATAAAACAGGTCCTCCTTCAGACATGGAGACGGGGTTTTTATAGTATTACTTCATTGTTCCAAAGAAGGATGGACGTTATATCCTATATATATATATATATATATATATATATATATATATATATATATATATATATATATACAGTATATATGTATGTATGTATTAAGATGACTAAATCGCTCTGATCAAACGCTGAAGTTCAAAACAATGACTATCAGCACCATAGTGTCACAAATACAGGCTGAGGGCTGGTTTGTCCCATATCCATCCTTTAAAGTCACAGAAAGTTCCTGAGTTTCGCCTTCAGGGGGAAGGCGTACAGGGTTCTTTCATTTGGTCTGGCATTCTCACCCCACACGTTCACCAAAGTAGTTAACGTACCATTGGTTTCACTTTGGCTACAAAGGACTTGTATTCTCTATTTTCTCGACGGCTGGCTAATTTAATTCCAGTTTAGGGAGTTAGCAATTCACATAGAGATGTTGTTCTTGCTTACATAGAGAAGTTGGGGTTGCGGCGAATCCTACAGTAAAGTATTATTGTGCCAGTTCATGTTGAGACAGAAGTTGGCAAATACTTTTTAGGTTTATTATGGAACTCTACAATGATGTTCGTGTGTCTGTTACTTTACTCAAATAGAGTTAATCCAGATCGCCGTAAAGAGTGTCAGGCTGGGCCTAGCTATCACTGTCAAACTGTTTAGAGGCTGGTTAGCAGCAGCCATAAACATAGTTGGGTCTGCTAACATGACATTGTTACAGCGGTGGCTCAAATCCAGGGATTTCGCATAATCAAAGCCTTGTGACATTATCTACAAGCTTTATCGATATGGTGACAGCCCTGGTTTCATTTACCCATTTAAACCCATTTAATCAATTATAAATAAATACTTTGTAGTGTGCAATGTAACACACACAAACACACACAAGAAATGCACATACGCCAGACATGAAGTTGGTGCAGACCAACGCACATTCTCACGTTAATTTCATCGTTAGTAAATCCAAACGTGAGCGTGAAACTTGGCGTACGGACAGTTTTTGTGCGTATGCAGAGTTGATACATGAAGCCCCTGTTGGTTTCTGACAATAACTTAGTATGATATAATCTAGGGGCTGAATCAAACTTTCTTTAAATATCAGCAAGCATGGGGCGCCCTACTATTACTTAAAGGAAAATAGTTCTGACTAAGAACCAGAACTGGTGAGGATGTGTCCGTGAGCAGATGGATCTGGCCAACATACTGACTCTAAGTGACCGGGTAAACATTAAGTGAAAATAAAGATTTAATAGGTAAATCGACCGAAATTTGACCAAATCACAACCTATAAGGTAATCAGCTTGAATTAGTTCAATCTAAGTTTTAATTATTATAAATTAGAGTCAGATTAAAATTCAGAGTTGGAAACAAATGAAAATAAATTTCACCAAGATATTTCTTTTCACATGTGCTGAAAAGGCTTACACACATTTAACCTTCACCCATACTGTTAGTTCTGTCATATGACTAATAGATGGACTTTTACAACATTGAATAATTTATTCCTCCATTATTCCTTATAAAACCCTGACACGAAGGAATTAACTTACAAATTAATTCATGGCACTTAAGCCTGAACAAAAGAACACATACAACATTTAAATGTATTAGATTCTAAAATTATTATTATTTTTTTTTAATTAAAGTCATATTATGTAACTTAAAAAACTGTTCTAAATTCGGGCCCATGATTTTGTCTGGATGTCATCAGGGCTCTGTAGTCCGTAGCCTACAGCAGATATGCGGAGCGTTTGTAATACCAGGGAAGGCTACCGAATGTACCTTAAAAAATCATACAGCATATTTTCATTTTAATCTAAATTTGTTATAAAGTGAAAAATATATTGGGCAGGCCTATTTATATTATTATTTTTAGAATTATTTCATTCTGTGCTGCTTGAAATGCAGGTGCTGTCAAGAACAGGGGTTGGAGAAAAAGGAGCAAGGACCCAAGTACAAGGAAAGATTGTATTTATTTATAATAAATTAAAAGGCAAAACAAACTACCCCGAGGGGAAAAACATTAACAAAACGAATAAACGAATAAACAATCAAAACACTTATTGCATGAAACCTTCAAAATTAAAACGACATTTAGAAACTAGAAGCAACACCCCAGTTACAAGGACAAACCTGTGGACTATAATAAACAGCTAAGGGCATCACAAAAGTGCCTAACATCTTCATGTTCAAAACAAGTACAGGCACTCCGCGAATCTTACTGTTGCTTATCTTGCTGATGTGTTCGACCACCTGAACACATTGAACACATCAATGCAAGGGTGTCACGATCACCAGCGATCTAACCACCGGAGATCTCTTGAAAACATTTACACTTACATGAACTACAAATCCGCCATGTTATAGTCTACAACACCCAGTAATGCAACACACACTCACACACAACCGGTTCCAGATCCTGACTGATTACACTCTCACAGCTAAAGCTGCTCAGACTGATTACTTGGAGTATAAGAACAGCACAAACACACAGAATATGGGTAATGTCTACTGTTTTATTGACACTACAACGCATTTTCCTTTGTCTTGTTTTGCCGTGTTTTTGATCCTTACCTCGTTTATGGCACATCTGAAAGACTCTCTGCCATCCACACTGGACCCACATCAGTTTGCCTACTGTGGCAACAGGAGCACAGAAGATGTCGTCTCCATAGCACTGCACTCTGTACTCACACACCTGGACAGTAAAAACACTTATGCCTAGTTTAGACTGCGTGATTTTAGCCACGATTTTGGCTCGCCGACAGGTTTTGAGAAATCGCCGACAAATGCCTGAAATCATGGGTAAATCGGTGCTCGTGCACGTGAGTGACAATCACACAGTATGAACTATCAAAGACGCGATCTGAGAGAATCGCAGATGAGTCGCCGATGCCTGAGAGATATTTGGCATGCTGAATATCTGGAGCTGTCGGCGATTCAAATCATGCCGTGTGAATTGAGTTTTGACTGAAAATAACACCAGCCATCGCCTACAGCCAATGAGAGAGCGGCATTCACTTGCGTGCAAGTATGTATACCTGCTGTAGGCCATGGGGAGGCTGGGGGAGAAGTTAAAAGCGCTCTTTTTTGGTTAATTTGGACCAACGAAATGGAAGAAAAACAAGTGGAGGTTTGACAGGACTCAAGAGCAACCGTGTCTGTTTGACGTTTCATACAGAAATAAATTAATTTATTATTACCTTAGTTTGAGGAGAAATGGCTAATTCCCTTCAAACCCAGGTGAGCAAATATGTACATTTTCTACCCCATTAAAGGCTTCTTTCTCATTATGTAGTTACTAACAAAAGATATACGACGTGTTTTTGGCTGTGAGACGTAGTTTGGACGAAGTTGTTGGCGATTCTTCCTATTGTAAAGTCATGCAATGTGAATGTCCCTGTCGCCGATCTATCTTGCAGTGTAAACAAAGCAGCGACGAAACGCTAGCCCAGATAGTCATGCAGTGTGAAAACATCTGTGACACGACTACTTTGAAAATCATGCAGTCTGAACTCGTCATTATGCACGAATGCTGTTTGTGGCTCAGCATTCAACACTGTCACAGTTAATGATCAAACTCATAGACCTGGATATTGACACGTCTCTCTGCAACTGGATTATGGACTTTTTGACTAACAGACCTCAGTATGTTAGATCAGGCCACATCTGCTCCACCACCGTCACCCTGGATGGTGGAGCTGCCAGGGGGTATGAGGCGAACCCCCTGGTGGAGCGTGCCATTGCGGTCAATCTTTGTCCGCATGGCGCCCCTACTTGGCGCGGTCCGCCCCGTCTCATGTCCAAAGCCTGTAGGTTATCTGCCTCCCTCGGAGCTAGAGCTTACAAGGCTGCGGGCCAGGCTGCTTCCGTCTTGCACGCGATGGCCACCTACCAGCGCCACCAAGCGCAGGCGCTGGCCGAGCTGCACGAGGGTGGGTCTACGCCCATATCCCAGGCTGGCCTGTTCGGTGACACCGTCGGTGAATTCACCCAGGAGTTCAAGGCGGTAAAGGAGCAGTCGGATGCGATAGGCAATGTCATCTATCGGCGGGACCGTAAGCCCGCTCCGTCCGCCGAGCTATGCGCGGGCCAGTCCCTCCCGGTGGCTCACACGCACGATCAGACTCGGTTACGAGCTTCAGTTCTCGAAACGGCCTCCCAAGTTCACGGGCGTGTATTTCACCAGGGTCAATCCCCTGTCCGCCCCTGCCTTGCAAGAGGAGATTGCTGCCCTCCTGGCGAAGGGTGCAATCGAGCCAGTACCTCCAGCCAAGATGGAGAGCGGGTTCTACAGCCCGTACTTCATCGACCCAAAAAGAGTGGTGGGTCACGGCCAATC